CCGTCTGCTCGTGTCTGCAGTTTCGCACCTAAGAAGGTGCACGAGCCATCTGCCGCAGTGGTCTCCTTCCATTCAAGACCATAATGGGCTGATGATGGTGGCAGACAATCAAAGGTAAGAACATCATCAATGAACCGATATGTAAAAGCATATCGGCGAGCAGCAGAGGGATCCACACGCTGCAGGTTGTCCACGTACTGCGCCTCATCCCAATAGAGTGTAAGATTGGCAATCTCAGGACCAGCGTTCGTACCCATAGGGATACCGACATCTTGATGATATATGTCAATAAATCATTGCAAAAAGGTATCACGATTCGAGTTTGGTTCTTGGCTTCCCCTCATCCTCTCCCCCCCCCACCCCCGCCCCCTCCCAAAAAAAAAACTCTCCAATTACATTCATTCCGCAGATAGATCCCCCACAGAATGGTTCAGAACTCGGGGGGGGGCGGGAAGGAAGCAAAAAAAAAAAGAAAAAAAAAAGAAAGTGGTTCAGAACGTACTAGAAAGTTGTTGAGAACGCAAATTTATTATTATTAATTTATTTATTTTTATCTGCAGAACGCAATTGCCATCATGATAGTCCTTTTTTTTTTTTTCTTTTTTTTTTAATGATAGTCCTTTTTATTTCCGGAATATTTCTAAATTTTAATGGGTTTTCTTCGCTCATTTTGTCTAGGGAAAGGACATAAATAGTCCTTCACGTTCAGAAAGCACAAAGCTTGGTAGGCCTGCAACAAGAATGCACCTGGGCATCAGGACATCCAGGTGCATTCTGACTAAGCTCACTTTGTCCCTTCCCCAACCCCGAAAAACGGGATATCCGTTGCACCGCTCGCCATCCGCCGACATGTTGAATGAATACAAGGAGTTTGTCCACATGCATTCAAAACCTTGGCAGACGGCTGCTCGGATTTTGAGAATGAAAATATATATTTTTCGAAAAAATGACAAGAGGCCAATCACGGGCATTTCGAACACGTGTTTTCGATTTCGCAATCCGACACTTTCGACCTATTTTAACTCATTCAATGCCAATGAATAAGACACAAAGCCAATGAATAAGACACACAGTGAGATTATTCAAAAAGAAAACAGAAGACACACAGTGAGATTATTCAAAAAGAAAACAGAAAAAAAAAAAGACTGTGTGAGTAAGGAAGGAGAGATGGAGGACGACGAAAGAAAAAAGAAGAAGAAGAAGAAGAAGAAGAAGAAGAAGAAGAAGAAGAAGAAGATGATGAGGAAGATAAGAAAATCTGCCCGAGCGCATCAGCTCGTAGTAGACGTAGAACCAACGAGCCTACCGTCTTGACGCGAATAGAACGCCCGGTCATTATAGCTGCATTTGGCCCAACTTTCAGTCCAGATGGAGCGATAATGACCGGGCGTTCTATTCGGGTTCGGGTGATGACGGTAGCTCAGTCGGTACACACCCTTGAATTGTTGAATTACAGACCCAAGTTCGAATCCAGATGGACGTTGATGAATGTTTTTTTTTTTTTTTTTTTTTTTTTTTTGATGAATGCAATGCAATGACATAGTAATTCCAACCTACCGTCTATGCCTCGAATACAACGTACGGTCATTAAAGCTGTATCTAGACTGAAAGATGCCTCAAATACACAGCTATAATGACCGAATACGTTGTTTTCGGGGGAAATAAGGTAGCCCGAGGCGGTCAGCTCGATGATGATATCTCAACACCGTCTCCCATTTTTCAAAAACACGAAAGACGGAAGTAGGCGTAGAACCGCCATAGCCGTGAAGCTCCGTGAAGCTCATCTTCACCAGGCGATGACACGTGGACGTACGTGGACGGGATTTTTTTTTTTTTTTTTTTTTTTTTTTTTTGGTTTGGACGAATACTGACGTGACACGACGCGGCTTATTTTTCCGAAAATGTGTGTGTTGGGAAGCATCTTGGTCGTGGCCCCCAATATCGACATCGGTCATGACAGGCTCTCATTATTTGGGATGAATTTTTGGGATGAATTTTTGGGATGAATTTTGGGATGAATTTTTTGACAATCCATCGGTCGTGATCGCTCTTCTTCTGATCTGCTGCTACCTTACCCCCTTCATCAAGTCGTGGGGGTCACAACCCCTCCCTCCCTCCCTCCCTCCCTCCCTCCCTCCTCAACTGGCATCCACATCTAATTCCTTTTCTTTTTTTTCTTTTTTCCCGCACATCTAATTCCCTTTCCTCCTCCTATCTTATTCCAGCGCGCTTCCAACGAGCCCGCCTCATCTCTTAACCTAATCAAATTTGATTAGGTCCCCCCTCTACCCCACCAACCCGTCCGTCCCCCGCCCCCCTGATTCCTCTGCTTTCTCTTCCTTGCCTCCCTCCCTGACCACCTACCTCCCAACCTCCCCCCTATCGTTTTAGGCCCTCGCCACACCACCATCGAAAAGAAAAAAGCACGAGCGCATCTTCCTAAAAAAGCGGCGAGATGCGTACGTTGCTATTCATAAGAACGGGTGCATCTTGCCACTTTCTGCGGGAACATGCACTCTTCTTCTTCTTCTTCTTCTTCTTCTTCTTCTTCTGTTATTTCCTCTTCATTCCACTATTCCACTATTCTTCTTGTTCTTCTTCTTCTCTTGACACTCAGTAAGACGGGAGGGTAGACCGTGGGGCCGCAAGGCGGGGTCATGAGGTTAGCCCCCTGAGGATGATCGGAGCGCAACCGATCGAAACGCGTCGAGGAATGTGCGCGAGAGCTGAGACGAGTTTGCGCGGCTTTGTAATGAAGAACTTATCTTTCGATGCGTGTACGAAAGGCGGTTGGCCACTGTTTTCCACTATTTCCACTCTTCTTCTTCTACTTCTTCAGTCCACTTAGACGTTTGGTTGAGTGTTTGCCTCTTGACGTGGAGGTCACGTGTTCGATCCTTCGATCGGTGCGGACGGACAGATTGCTGTCTGGAGTAAGTTTCACTTCTTCTTCTTCTTCTTCTTCTTCTTCTTCTTCTTCTTCTTCTTCTTCTTCTTCTTCTTCTTCTTCTACTATTATTTCTTCTTCTGTTATTTCCTCTACCTTCTTCTTCTTCTTCTGTTATTTCCTCTACCTTCTTCTTCTTTTTCTGTTATTTCCTCTCCGCAAGACAGTTGGCCCCTGTTTTCACTCTTCTTCGTCGTCGTCTTCTTCTTCTTCTTCTTCTTCTTCTTCTTCTTCTTCTTCTTCTTCTTCTTCTCTTTCTTCTTCTTCTTCTTCTTTTTCTTCTTCTTCTTCTTCGCCTTCTGGGCAAAACGCGTCGGGGAAACTGCGATGAACTTTCATACTGAGAACTGTACAGGCGGCGACGTAATGCAAATCTGTCTGTCGATGCTTGTACGAGAAGCAGTCTATGGCCACTGTTTTCTAACGATCTTTTCACTATTCTCCTTCTTCTTCCCTCTCCGATCCCTCTGCGACAGGGAACGATCACCCCCCCCCCCCCCCCCCCTCTCGCGCCCCATCCCTGACTCGAACTTTCTTCTTTCGTCCCCGTCATCCTTGTCGTCCTTGGCTTTCCTACGGCCTTGTCCGAACGCGCAGCCCACGCCGGAGCCCACAACCCCCGCGACTTCCCCCACCCTTTCCTGACCCTTCGTTTGCCTGTCTCCTTCTCCGTCTTCTGCGCCCTCTTCAAGTTTCCTTCTTTCTCAGCACTTCGGTTCCCAACTTTCTTTGTTCTCGTCCTTCTCCCGCCTGCCACACGTACACAAGGGAGACGTGCTGGAACAGACAGAAGAAGAGGCGAGCTTTCAAAGAAGAAACGTAAGAGCAGGCAATCACACATGCACAGGAACGACACAGGACTTGACATCTAACTCACCTTTCAAATGTCCCAAGCATTCTTCTCTCTCTCTCTCTCTCTCTCTCTCTCTCTCTCTCTCTCCCTTGCGCCGCGCGCGCGCCCCCTCGTGCCCCTTCCTCTCCGATGTCGGACACTCCCGTGTTGCGGGCACGTGTGTATGCGTTCGCGTGTCCGTGGCTGAGTGGATGGTGAGTGGCGGTACTGACTGCTGTGGGGTAGTGGCAGGCCGCATCCAGCGGGGCGCGCGGTAATTGTCGTTGACCCCTTTTCTTTTGTGGGGGGGGGGGGCCGGGGGGCGCACTTAGTACCAACGGACTACCCCAGAGCGGTATGACCAACACGGGTATGAGTGTGACCGTGAGTGGGTTGTGTGTGGGAAAGTCCATGTGCCTCGCTGCACTACTCTAGACTCTCGAAATATTTCGAGAGTTCGACTAGCATTGTCAGAGAGGCGAGACATCCTTGAAACCCATAGAATTAGGACGCGGTGTAGCGACGACGCTGAAAACCGAAAAATTTTCCAAGGACTTCATCCTAATTCGTGAGGATTTTCCAAGGAGGGTCTAACGAGGCCCTTAGAGCATACTCACACTAGGTCTTCAAACTCGCAAGGACTCAATATGGCCGCTCATTTTGTGCTTTTGCTATTTTGAAGGCCTAGTGTGAGTGTGCCCAGCTATGAAGTCCGAGCCTCGCTCGAACTACGGGTTGTTCACTTCCCAGGCCTAGTCCAAGAAGAAAATGGTAGAAAATAGAAAGAAAAAAAAAAATAGAAAAAATAGAAAGGCACGAACTACAGGTTGTTCACTTCCTAGACCTAGTGCAAGAAGAAAACGGGAGAAATATGCGGAGTTCGAATGCAGATGGATTAGATGAACAAAACGTTGGCCAGGGGCAGGGGCCCGGGGGAGCTACCGCCAGTGCCACAACACTCGGACCTAGCACAAGCCCCTGGTAACGGGTGTTGTTCTTGACTGCAGCGACTACCACCATGACAACGATTCGGCTGGTGAGGTAGCGATGTCCAATCGCCTTATCGTTGGAACGTACTCATTGGCTATGGTAGTATGGTGTCTCCTCACCGGGTTCTCGCCAGGTCCTTCCCACTGGTTATGAAGAAAGCATATTAGCTTTCAAGAGAATCAAACAGTGGCTCCTCTTCGAGCAACAGTCTCTATGTTGCATTGATCAATCACATCTAGGTACCTACCAATCGAAGGTGTCAAATTAGGGTTCTTCTTGTTCGAAGTAATAATTACTTGTACAATAGTGGGGTTAACCATCTATCGTTGTGATCACTATGGAGGAAGAGGTTGAAGATAGAGGTGCCAGATCCTCGCCGCCAACTCCCGTAGACCTGGGAGAAGATAATGATCGTATTCGTGATCTGATAAGGATGTGCTATGACGAGGGAATTATGCCCTCAAACATTGACCCAAGTGAGATGACGGTGAATGGGCGAGAAGGTTAATTGGCTAAAGGAGCATAAGGTAACAATTATTTTTAGAGCAGGGGCACGATTCGTATCAAACCGAATGTTTGGAGACGCACTGCAGCCTCAACCGAGCTTTATTGTCCCTTCATGCACCCACCAATACCAGATGTCGCTGCACCCATGAATTTTCAAGCACTATATCATCAAGTCCAACAATTGAAACGGAGCTCGGCCTATTATCATATGACATGCCGCCAAGAATAAGCTTCAGCACAGCTGGATTAGGCGCACCAGATGCTGACTCACCACGCACTCCAAGTGCACCAGGAATTGGCCAGCCTTCCCCTAACCATGCTGGTTCCGGGGCCCCACTAGGCATGGTGGGCAGAGCCAAGGTCCATGGGCGATTCCAGCCGATTCAGCCACCTCACATGAAATGCAACGCTCTCAAATGCAACAAGTCCAAGACACACAGACAATCACATGAGAAATCATCGACTACCACTGCAAAAAGGAGGCGCTTCTTCTTCAAGAAATGTCAGTCATGACAAACAACACAGATTATCAAGGAAAGGGAGTGCTTCCTCAATCTTGAGAGCAGAGCACTCATGTGGATCTCCTCCTGTCTTTGAACATTCGTTCGAACACGATATGGGCACACCAGGCAGCAAAACGAGAAGGCGCTGTATTGCAGTGACCTTAGCAAGAGGTTGATCTCAAGATATGAAAGTCAAGGTCCTCCCACTTTTTTGTATGGCTGTAAGAAACAACTTCTGGTTTGTTGCCTTCAATTTACCAAATCGTATCATGTCGATGGTAAGTTTACCCTCTCGTGATTTGATAAGAACATCTTGACAAATTTGTTCTTCGAATGATTCCCGATGAGATTATGGTCAGACTGTTGATTGACCATCCTAACCAGAGAGGGAAGAAGATTAGTTATTTTCCCCCACTTGGATCTCCGTTTTCTGGAAGGCCAATTGGAAAATCAGGAATCAGAAGGTTTGCATCTCCTTCCTATCTCGTGACTAACCGAAAAACGCAAACAGAAAATGTCTCAAATCCAAATCCCTTCACTCTGCTCACCGGAATGTCTCCAAGAAACGAACATTCGCCTAGTATACAGAGAAGAAAGTTGTCAACGCTCTAACCTACTAGAGTCATGGCAATCCCTTGCCTCAAATCCTGCTCTTGCTTCCTATGGTATCCAATCTGGTGGGGGAGAGAAGGTAAGAAATGAATAAGTTAAGAATGGTAACATTGAACGTTAGAAGGTTTGGGGACTCAACAGGTAAACACAAGAAAGACCGATTGAAATCTTGGGTTCATGAAAACAAGATCTACATGTCTTCAAAAAACTAAACTCTGTGAAGATAAGATAAACTCGTTAGGCTCATGGTGGGATGAACGTCAAATTTGGTTCCTTGCAATGGGATCGCGAGATGGGGTTGCACTCTTAATCCATAGAGACCAGGACTTTGATTGATTATTATGAAGACCTTTGAGGCATGTGGGCATGAGCGAAATTTGCGTTAGGAGAAGCGGAATGGCTAGTGATCTCTATTTATGCTTCGGTGGACCAACGAGATAGGATTATATTTTTCGATAAACTACCGAGTTTTATTCCAGACTGCGAAATGACTATAGCCGCTGGTGACTGGAATATATCACTGGATACAAATTGGACCGATAGCAACTCCGGTGAAACTTGCGATGACAAAGCATTAATATCCTTGATGAGCGTGTTGGGACTAATCAACCCTTATCGATTATCTCATCAAGAAAACCCAGGTGTTATATGATTTTTCAACAACAGAAAGAGAATCCGGGTAATAATGCGTCGATTAGATTTCATGCTGATTTCTAAGGTATTATGGAATGACGTTCTAACAATAGATGTTTCTAATAAATCGATGTCAGATTTTTAACCAATCAGCCTTGAACTGCAGACTTCCGAACAGTCCAGAGATAGGGGTTTGTTCCGATTCAATACTCGAAACCTGAAAATCCCGGAACAAGTGGAGTGGATGAATCGATTCTAGATTAGCTGAGAATTTGGTCGCTCAAATTTCTAGACACTCGATCACTACTGGAACTGAGGGTTTATAATCTTCTTGAACTTGCTAAATGTGTTCTCTCGAATTATTGTTGGTGCTATAAACGGACACGGAAATTTTTTTTGTACTACGATTAGATATGTTGAGGAGCGCATGCGCCTCAATCGAGCATCTAATATGTTGTGGGGTAAAATCCGAGTGAAACTTATACTAGAATGAGAAAAATTGCAGGTTGAAAGTTCAAAAGTCTGGTCTGAAAGATTGAGAGTCAAGAGTATAGCGGTATATGCCCGTATGATTAAATAATCGTTTCAAAAGTTACTTCGGGGAAGATTTGCGGTTCCTATGAAAGAACTCCCGCACTCGTACGACTCGGATGCCCCAATAGCAAAAGAGTTCACCTTGCTGTGTGAATATACAACAGTTTATTATAATGATATTCTAACATCGAGAATGCACTGTGCAAATATAACGGAATAACTATATCTTGACAATGATCATTGGAACAATACCACAGTTGAAATGTTTTTTTTGGGCATAACGAATCTAGACCGACCCATCACAACTTGCGAGGCATATGAGAAAGACAATGTCTAAAGGCCCGGAGACGATGGTCTCCCAGTGAAACTTTACTTGAGTAGCTGAGCTGAAGTAGGTGATTGATTGGTGAAAATCTACTATGGAGTCCTTACAGGGGAGAAGCTGACAGCCAATATGCGTCATGGTATCATTTATGTGCTCTTTAAAAAAGGGGACCGCTTGAACATTCGAAATTCTCGACAAATAACCGTCTTAAACATGTCATATAAACTACTGTGACTGACCAAGATCCTGACCATAAGATTTGGTTCTTATTTACCTGATTTGGTTCAATGTGATAAAGCTGTTTTTGCTAGTGGCTTCTCTATCTTTGATAATATTGTAACTGCAATTGAAACCTTTAAAATTGTACACAAAGACTCTCTGAATGTGGCAGTGTTATTAATGGATTTAGAAAAAACATATGACCCGGTCAATTGGTCATATGTTTAACAATGCTGAATGTTATGAGATTTGGTAAGAGTTTTTCCAAATTGGTCAATGCTATGTATACATGGCCAACTGCAGCAGTATTAGCAAGCAGTCGGTTGTCGAAGTCCTTTGCTCTTACACGTTGGTTGAGGCAGGGATGCCCGCTCGCTCCCTTGATATTTGCAATCCAAATGAAAGTTTTTCTCAACAATATTAGAGTTCACATTGAAATTAGAGGCTTGATTGCAGGCCCAACTACAAAATAAAGTAAAAGTGTTGGCTGATAATTTCTTTAGTCTCAGACAATTTTATCTAATCACTTAGTAACTCAAAACACAAGTTGGATGTCTATTCCCACTTATCTGAAGCATTCGTTAACAGACACATGTCGGTTTTCTTTCTTCCTGCCGAATTTTCACTGGTGGTGCAGTGGGGTATGAAAGGATCAATTAACAACAGCCTTACCGGTTCTTAGGAGTTCAAATGTCCTTTTTGTTTTGTCAAGGAGCTTAAGATAACCTTTTGCTTCAAAAATTCACGTATAGACTTGCTACCTAGGGCAAGGTTCCACACCTTTCGCTCTTCGGTCAAGC